AAGCTTTTTGGAACTTCAGGGTCCAAGCGAAGTCGCTTTTTTTCTTTAGTAACAAGAAAAATCGGTGGCTTTTATCCGACGACTTGGAAATGAATCGGCCCAATGCGGCTATCCGCCCGATTAGTCTTTGCACTGCCTTGACATCATTAGCCATGGTGATATCTTCTACGACCTTCATCTTATCTGTGTTGATCTCTATTCCCCGGTTAGACACCATAAAGCCGAGGAATTTACCCGAGCCGACTCCAAAGGCACACTTCTCTGGGTTCAACTTCATATTGCATTCCCTTAGAAAGACGAAGGTTTCCTACAAATGCCTCAAATGGTCCTCTGCTAACAGGGACTTAACTAACATGTCATCAATATAAACCTTCATTGATTTTCCTATTTGTTCCTCGAACACTCAGTTAACTAGGCGTTGGTATGTGGAACCGATATTTTTTAACCCTAAGGGCATCACGTTATAACAATAAGTGTCGAACCTAGTTATAAAAGAAGTTTTGTCTTGGTCTTCCGGGTCCATCCGTATTTGTTGTACCTTCAATAGGTATCGATAAAGCTCACCTTCTCGTGCCCTGCCATTGCATCGATCATTCGTTCGATGTTAGGCAAAGGAAATGAGTCCTTTGGGCATTCCTTATTCAAATTTTTATATTCTACACACATTCTAAGTTTATTTTGTTTATTAGGTACGATGACTACGTTAGCTAACCAGTCCGAACATTTGACTTCCCAAGTTGAACCTATTTTTAAAAGTTTAGATACCTCGTCCTTGATGAATGAGTGTTTGACCTCGGAGTATGGCTTCCTCTTCTTTTTAACCGGATGGAAGCTATGATCTGAACTCAATTTGTGAGTTGTTATCTTCAGTGAAATTCCTGTCATATCTAAGTGGGACCAGGTAAAACAATCGACATTAGCTTTAAGGAAATCAATGAGCTGAGCTTGGGGGTTAGCCCCGTGCCCAGGTATACCTTTCTATCCGACAGATGTTAGAATAATATGACTTGTTCCAGTTCCTCGATTGTTGACTTGGTGGCATCAGCGTCATCAAGTGATATGAAGGATCTCGGGACCCCGAAGTCATCTTCCTCACCTATTGGGCGTTCCTCCGATTTTCCTAGCACAGTCGGGGTCGAGATCTGTGATTGCTATTTGGTGACATTCTCTTCGATCAGTTCCTTATCTTTTGATGTCGTGATTGCAGGTACTGGAATCACTTCGTCGATAGCGAACATCTTCTTTGCGGCAGGTTGTTCCCCATAAACAGTTTTGATTCCACTCGGAGTTGGAAATTTCAACACTTGGTGCAAGGTCGATATTACTGCCCTCACACTATGAATCCACGGTCTCCCGAACAAGGCGTTGTACCTAATGTCCCCCTCTAGAACTTTGCTTGTTGAATGGTTCTGGCCATGTTGACCGGGGTAGGGTGATTTCTCCCTTTGTTTTCTCGCACGCCATATTGAACCCGTTCAGCACTCGAGCTGCTGGTATGATCTGGTCCAACAGCCCCAGTTGTTCCACAACACTCCTCCATCGGATGATGTTGGCTGAGCTACCTGGATCAATTAACACGCGCTTAACTCGAGATTTATTAATAAGTACAAATATTACCAATGCATCATTATGAGGTTGGATGATGCCCTCAGTATCCTCGTCATTAAACGAGACAGATCCTTTCGGATCATAATCTCGAGTTTATTTTTCTCTTGTGATAGACTTTGGTGCATTTTATCACCGGTACTTGGGGAACATCTAATCCCCCAATAATCATATTAATCACATGTTGGGGTTCTTCCTGCTCGACCTGCTTGTTGGCGTCCCTACTCCTGAAATGGTTTTTGACCCGCTCACTTAGGAATTCTCAGAGATGCCCGTTATTGAACAAACGAGCCACTTCTATCCTTAACTGCCGACAATCCTCGGTTTTATTCCCGTGAGTACCATGATATTTGCATATCAAATTATGATCCCTATGTACCGGATTAGACTGGAGAGACAAAGGCCATTTGGTCTCTGATGCGACCAATGGCTGGCACTATGCTCGTTGCATCTACGTTGAAGTTATGTTCCGCTAGCCTCGGGGCATCTCTTACTCTGGTTCATCTGTTGAGCCCGTTTCTATTCATCAACTCTTTGGTTGCTTGAACCCGAATCGTTTCTTCTATCGTTCCTGGTCTAATAGCAACTAGGTCTGTTTTCCCTTCTATCTGAGTTGTAAGGTTGGTATCGATCTCGGGGTGGCCTCGACTCCTAATCCACTATTCTTTTAGACTTGTCGTTCACTTTATCAGGATAAATTGATCTTGAGGGGGTCCCTAATTGATCGTCCTCGACTCTGATCTTTGACGGGTACCTGTTATGAACGTTGGCCCAGGTAACCACTGGATATTCTATCAAATTTTGCTTCAGTTGTTGAGACGCGACCGAACTTCGGGGGTTGAGCCCCTAAGTAAATGCCTGAACGGCCCAATCGTCTGCAAACGGTGGTAGATCCATTAGGAATCTTGACACGAATTCTCTAAGCATTTTGTTGTCTTTTTGTTTGACTTTGAACAGGTCCGATTTCCTCGTCTCAACTTTAATGGCTCCAGCATGGGCATTAACAAAGGCATCTGCAAGCATAGCAAACGAATCAATAGAATTTTGAGGCAAATTATGATACCATACCATCGCTCCTTTGGATAGGGTTTCTCCGAATTTCTTCAGCAACACCGACTCGATCTCGTCATCCTCGAGGTCGTTGCCTTTTATAGCGCACGTATTGGAGGTCACATGCTCGTTTGAGTCTGTGGTCCTATTGTATTTGGGGATATCGGGCATTTGGAACCTTTTCGGAATCGATTTTGGTGCCACGCTCGGGGGGGAAGGCTTCCGAATGAACTTTTTGGAATCCGGTCCCTTTACTATTGGAGGTGCCCTCGGGATCTGATTGACCCTCGAGTTGTAGGTTTCCACTTTCTTATCATTTTCCACTATCTTCTTTTTGCCGGATTCTACCCGTTTTGTCAGTGCCTCGAGCATTTTCATCACCTCGGAAGTTTAACCGGATCCGGACCCGTTGGGCTCTGTGACAATCCGTTCTTCCCTCCGGGTATCTTCTTCAGCCCATTCGGGTTCAACCATGTTGTGTGCGTGATTTTGGTTCTGCAGTTGTTATATGGCAACTTGTTGAGCTTGCAACATCTCAAAAGTCAAACGTAAGCTAACTCCATCGCCTCCCTCTTCGACCGCTTCACAAACTGATGGCCGAGGTGCTACGTGAACGTTGTTATTGGGATCAGCCGGTAGGTTAGTGTTGACAGCCACCTGCGATTTGGCATCGACCGGATCAGTGATTGTAACACTGTTAGGGTCGACAGGGGGTACATTATTGCTCGGCACCCCGTTATTATTTTTGCCATGGTTGCTTGATTCAGCGTCAACACTTAAGTGAGTAGATTGAGAATCTGATATATTAAATAGTACTAAAATCAAACTTCAAAAAACAAGTGTAAGATAGTATGTGTTATCAAGATTCGTATTAAATTACCACTATTATCCTTATCCCCACGTTGGACGCTAAACTGTTTACCTCTTAAAATGGACAACAATTAAATTTGTACGCAGTACAAAGAATATGTGATTTAATTTAACACAAATGATCAAAGAACAGTAAATAATTGAATTAAAAATAAATAAAACGATCAAACCAAAGTGATGCAGTAATTAAGCCTTGTATTCGGTTAAATGCTAACGATCAGTCACAATCGAGCCCTCGAGATAGAGCTCGAATCCGGCTAAACCAGTGAACAACTGAAGAATACTTAAAACAATTGCAGAGAGTCAAAGTGAATTTTATTGCCTTGATATGCATGCAAATAGTGCCAAAAAATAAAGGGGTCCTCCTCTTTATATAGTAGAGGAGTTTTAACCCCAAATACAAGTCTAAATAAGGTAAAATCTTTTCCTTCCTTCTCTCCCACGAAAATATGATCAGCATCCAATACCGAGCGTGATACGCGCTGTGATATCCGATTGATGGCGGATATTTCTGCTCCCGGTTTGTCTCCTTTAACCATCTTTTCTTTACCCTCGGTTCTTCATCTCACTCAAGCTTGATTATTTTCGGGTTCGGCCATGCTCGAGAGCTGTTGTATCGTTCGTTCGTCCCTAGTTCCGATCTATGGGTACCTTCGGTCTCACTCGAGCCAATAACAAGTAACGTCATTCCCCGTTACGCAATAGTAAATCGAGGATAACTCTATCCTTGATTTTACCCGTATACATACACAAAGAATAAAGTTGAAGCATAAGGGGTAACATGTCTATTTGTATATAAAATTGTAGCTTTGTTACAAGTTGAAATTAATTGTAGTTGTTCATCTTTGATACATCCATTTATGACATGACCATGGTCTCTCGTTATTAGTTATTAATCTTAGTCAAAGATCCAACAAATAGTATAATCTAGTTAAAATGCTGAATACTGAGATCAATTCCAACCTGTTCTCTCTTTGTTAATCTTAGCCAACGATGAATGATCCAATAAATCACTTATTCTAATTGAAAATGTTGAATAATGGGATCAGATCATAGTTGTTTGAGATCATAAAACCATCAAATACTAATACTCAAATATTGGTCTTTGGAATAGGTGATATTCTCGGACAAATCGAGAATCAAGAATCAGTAAGTTTCAAACAAGTGTGATCTTATTATATGTACGTGTTTGAATATTTTTCGCATATGTATACATAGTTCGACCTTAAATAGTGAGTTCATTAGACTGACAAAACTCATCCAAAATCCGTTTCAGGACGTATTCTAACATGCTAGAATTTGGAAATATAGATTCCAGGTAGTGAATTGACAAAACTAATAACAACTTTGGCTGTGTTTAGAGCAGCTAAAGTTCCAAATAATCTAATTGTGTTGTCGCCTTCTTGTGTCCCTGCTAAATCTGACATTCCACGAATTGCGATAACTGGGTACCCATTTGACAAGCATGTCTGCACAAAATCACCAAAATTGAGCTATTAGTTCAAATAAACAAACAAATTTAAGTCTACAGAAAATAGAAAAAAGGAAGAAAAGATGAAATTTTATTTTTGTGTTTTAATATGTAACATGTAACTTATATACAATGACAGTGCGAAGAATTTGTATATTAGTTGTGTGTTTTAACTTGTAACTTGCCTTATTTTTCATGTTACTTATCCACTATTTATAGACAGTTAAATATTGTGAAAGGCGGATAGAGTTTGTAGAATATGGATCACGGACCCTAAAATATTGTGAAAATAAAAAACTTTCAACAAATATTCAATTATGAACCCATAATTTCAACAAGGATTCAGTCTAATAGTCTGTCTGGCCAAGCTGCAAAAAGGAAAAAAAAGATGAAAAATTAGTTGTGTGTTTTAACATGTAACATGTAACTTATATACACTGACACTGCGAAGAATTTGTTGGATAGTTACATGTTGCTATAGGTGGATGTAACTTATAACATGTAAATTATGTGTTTTAACATGTAACTTACCTTATTTTTCATGTTACTTATCCACTATTATTAGACGGCGTAGTACATACGGAGACACCTAAAGTTGGCACAATCTTTCACTTAGACACTTAAACTAGGCCTCTTTCCAATTAGACACGTTCCTTAGGCAATTCTCATACCAATTAGACACGTTTTTTGCTGGTTTATTAATTAACCAAGCGCGTGTTCCGCAATCTCCGTCTACGTGGCAAAAGTAACCATTATAAATCGTGCCACATATTTTTTTTGTCCACCTCACTGTCCACCTCAGCTATATAGTATTATTTCCACTAAAATACAAATACCCCCTTCGTCCCCAACCTCCAACGTTCCCCCACCAGCCGATGTCTCCGATCCCGTCGCTGACATCACCCCTGCTCCCTCTTCGTCGTTGTCCAATTTTTGTCGTCTGATCTCGTCTGGCAAGCGGCGTCAAACAGATCCAAACTCCAAAGCCTAAAGTTCATAAAACCCACTTATCAAACTCCTTAATGAAGCCAAGAATTTCCGCAAAAACATCAAAATTACATGACAATGGCCAAGTAATTTTATTCTATTTATTAGGATGTTGGTCTCATTTGTTCACCACTTTTTAGTTGTCTTTGTTTGAGATTGATAGTTCTGCTTGATGTTTTTTTTCCTGCAGCTTTATTTACTTTTTGGTGTTATGGCAGTGAAATATTATGGTGGTTGGAGGAGAAGTTTTGGTGGGATTTTGGAATTGGGGGTTGGTGATGATAAATGAAAAATGGTTGCTGCTAGGTAATTTATGAGGAGAAGATGACTTATTGGAGCATTATTACGGAGGAGGAAGGTTTAAGATAGTGGGGGAGCTGATATGGTGGAAAAATGAAGAAGATGATGGAACACAGTTTGGGGTTGGGAGGTTTGGGGGGGGGGGGGGGATTTAGTGAAAATAGGATTTTTTGTGGTCAAATACATTTTTAATATTTAATTAATTGGAAAATGCCATGTTTATTTCATTCAGGCGCTCAAGGAGACTGAGAAACACTTTCTTTGCCATGTCATAGTTTTGTGTTTAATTGGTACAGTTTGAAATGAATTCTTGTGTCTTGGAAAGAGGCCTAGTTTAAGTGTCTAAGTGAAAGATTGTGCCAACTTTAGGTGTCTTCGTATGTATTACGCCTTATTAGACAGTTACATGTTGCTATAGGTGGATGGAGCTTGTAGAATATGGATCACGGTCTCACGGACGAAAAAATATAATGAAAATCACAAAATTTTAACAAATATTCAATTATGAACCCGTTATTTCAACAAAGAATTCAGTCAAAATCATGAATCTGCCCTCGAACTACATCTATCTTTTAGGTGACATGAAAATATTATAAATGTTAATTAAAAAAGTGAGGAAGATCAAGTTACCATTACAACAGCTGAACTTTCCATGTCAAGTGATGTAACCCCAAAAGTTTTGAAAAGGAAATCTGTGTAAGCTGCATTGTCAATGAAAAAGTTTGAAGTTGCCCCCTTAAGTCCAACAACTAATTTAGGCTTTTGTGGAAGGCACAAAGTTGAATTTGCACATTGCTCTAGTTTCATCCCCTGTTATTGAATCCAAACACATTACAATAACACCAAATAGAAATTGATCTGCCTCTACTTGATCAACAGAGTTACTCGATATCAGTACTGGTGGAAGATAAAAAGTATTTACTTACCTGCAAATGAGAGGCTACATTAAGCCAATTCTTGGTTATATTAAACCAAACTGGCCTCTGAGGTACATTGACCTCCCCTGAAGTTGAGTAAAACTGCTCAGTGCTATAACCAACATGCCCCAACTTGTTATCCCCTCCTTTTGGTGCATTATAATTCTTGAAATCAAATTGAGCAAAATCATTTGGTTCCAAAGTTGCATTTGGTTTCTGCACAAACATACAATTTATGTGAGCCAACTATAATAAAAAATGGCAGTCCGGTGTACTAAGTTCTCGCTATGCACGGGTTCCGGGAAAAGGCCGGACAATAAAGGGTCTATTATGCGCAACCTTACCCTACATTTTTACAAGAGGCTGTTTTCACGCTCGAACCCGTGACATCTTGATCACATGGCAACAACTTTACCAGTTACGCCAAGTGTTGAGATTGAGTGGAAATACAATTTAAAAAAAAAAGGGGGGGGAGTTTGTTTAAAGGGTTAGAAGTTAGAAAGATTTACCAACCAATCCCAAAGCCCTGTTTGTGCAACTTGATATGGGATTGTGACATCTCCAATGTGCATAGAACTGTTGGCATTACCAGAAATACCAAAATGGATTACTCCTTTTATGTCAAACAGATCCAACATTTGCTGTGTTGCTGCTGCTGCATTCACCTAAGTAGAAGCCAATCAACTATCTCATCAAATCTTAGACAAATAGTAACTACAGTAACTCTACTCTTACTTCCTCTTTTTTTTTCTTTATATATTTGCAATATTTAAAAACTCACTGGCCTGACTATTCAAGATTCGAGACAGATATATCTACTAAGATGGTAAAACGCTTGAATTCGAGACATCTAATTAAAAACGGAGATATTCTAACCATCCCATCATGCCCATATAGGTGGTCTATTACTTTTCTCTTATCATCAACGAGTGGTCAAGAATTGAAGCATAATTATTTTAGAAAAAAAAAAAAGAACAATATGAGTTGACTTGCAAAGGAAGATCTTAGAGTTTTTTACCAATCCAACTCCACATTTCACATAAATAACTTTCTTTCCTGCAACCTTCCCAATCTGGAAACGTCTACCTACAAGAATGACTCTTATGTCAGTCTTAATTCTGGAAATTAACATAATTTAAAGCAAAAGAAACGAAGAATATTTATACATAATTAGAGCAGAAAGTAACGAGTTCAGTTGAATTGACAAAAACGTTATAGTTACCTGATAAATCAACAAAGGGGTGTCTAGAATCAGGCCTAAAGACACCAGTACTAAAGAAAGCTTCTTCTTCTGGTGCATAGACTGTGATAAGACCAAGAAAAGGACCATTTTTATTCACACTTTTGATAACTCTTAAAGAATTCAACCTTTCTAATGGAACTGCTTGTGCAGAAAATATAAGTAAAGGGATGAATGCCAAAGAAAATATCAGAGAAAATGAAAGGATTACTTGTTTTGCAGCCATTTGTTTGAACTGTAACAAGTTATGGTTCATGATACCAGTATAACCAAGTTCATTTATATACACAACAATTCACAGAAAAATTGATATAAAATCACAAACAGGTTTCTGTTCATCATAGTTTTATAATATATTCTCAAGTTTCACGTTTTAATTAATTCGAATATGCACTCCATTCTGTGAAGCTACAATGTACTATGTGTAGTTTTTTATTGAATAACAAAACGTAGGTCAGATGGCAGATCCGAAATTTGAAGTTTATGGGTTACTACAATTTAATATTATAAAGATAATTGCATTCACAGTCAAGTATTTTCTAGTTTTCTTAATATATATATACAAGTATATATAAAATCGGAACAAAAGCTAATGGATCCAGCTGAACCCGTTATCAACACTCTAAATCTATCTCCCAAGTGGAGCTTGATTTCTTTTAATATATAAACGTTGTCATGCTGCCAGGTAAAGTTAGTTGACTTTATAATAAGCACAATAATTCATGGAAAATCTCAAGCAGGATCTTGTTTTATATTTTTATTATTCTCCACATACTTCGCGTTGTTATCTCTATTATTTAAAGTTACATATATTACTATGTATTTTTATTGAATAACAAAATTGGGGTTGATTTCGTAATATGAGTTATATGTTAGCTTAATGGGACAACAAAATATATACTCCGTATGTTCCACTTAATACGAGTTGACAGTCTTCTTTAAGATAACTTTAATCCAAACAGTTTAGTTTTGACGACATTTCTTTCGTTCAATAGAAACGTAAATTTTTTTTTTGATAATTGTCTCTTGCTCTATTACCATTTAATTTAACTAGTGCATTTATTTTTCTAGTTGTAGGTTATACCTATAGAACTAATTTCGGTATTCGGTTATTTGGTAAGATATGAAAGATCCTTGAGAAGCCATTGTTTTATCAGACTAACTTTTTAACAATGATTCTAATAATTTCTTCCACTATTACTAATGTAATAAATAACTCAAATTAACACCTGAAACATTGTTTCTAAATCAAACGTCATATAAAATTAGATAATGAGATGGAAAAAGTTTATGTGTGTGCATATACACTATGGTACGAAATATTAATGGTTTTATCAAGGTGCATGTGGAAAACCCGAATCACCTAACACCCACAATTTCATATAAATAAATATTCAACTAAAACCATGTGTTAATTCCCTGTAATATGTCGGTACACCCTTGACAATGAATGGTGATCTATCAATTACCCTAGGCTTGTACTTTTAGCCTCAATTTACATGGATCACAATTCATATCACAATGTTTACGAATTTCATTCACCAAACTCTTCATTCATTATTTCATCCCTAAGGCCAATCACCTTTATTGAGATGTACATACGCACACTGCAAATACTGTATACCTAATTATTCCATATGGCAGTTAGTGGTTAGAGGTAGTTAGTGGTTAGTGAGCCAGGCTCATTGCTAGCTGGATAGGCAGAGTTTTTTTCTTTCTCATTTTTCTTATAAATAGACATTGTACAGTAACTACACGATTGAATTGGAGATTATGCATTTCAACTCTCTTCTAGAGTCTTCTCTCCCCTGCTCCATGTCTCTCGCTTGAGCAGTGGTTGATTTCAATGTCATCCTCCGGTTTTGACATGGTATCAGAGCTTAGGCTCCATTCTCGATCCAACTCGGCGACAATTTGCTTAGTACAACTCTTCTCCAACCAGTTTCTCTTTGAATTTCATCTCATCTCTGTCTGATTTAGGGTTCTCAGATCAATTTGGGAATCTCTCTGAAATTGAGGTTTTTAACGGCTGCATTTTCAACTGGAACTTGCATTTAGTATCCTCGGCTGCTTGAATCATGGCTGGAGAAGAAGAAGTGGTGGATTCAACTAACACCTTGCCGAGCTCGACTAGTCCTCTCTACATGCATCCATCGGAGAATGCAGGAACTATTCTAGTACTAGCCCTTTTTGATGCATCTGGGTACAGATCGTGGAGGAGAGGTGTACTAAGAGCTTTGTCTTGAAGAATAAGGTAGGATTCATAAATGGAAAATATAAAAAGTCAGATGCAAAGGATGCTCTTTTAGATCAGTGGGAACGGTGTGATGACATGGTGACCTCGTGGATACTGTCACTCTCTTAGGATCTAGTAGATAGCCTACCGTATGTCAATGATGCAAAAGAGCTCTGGCAAGAGCTAGAAGATAGGTACGATCAGACGAATGGAGCAAAACTATATCAATTACAAAAGGAGATCAACGACTTAAGCCAAGGGAGCCTTGATATCATTGGATATTACACAAAAATAAAAAAAGTGGGAAGAGCTAAATACTCTTAACATACATGCTCAGTGCAGCTGTCAATGTGTGTGTGTGGAGCCAAGGCTAATATGCGAAAGGTTGAACAAGATAGGAGGCTAATTCAGTTTCTCATGGGACTAAACGAAGTATATACAGTAGTGAGGGGAAGTATATTGATGATGAACCCCTTACCTAGCATAGCACTAGCTTTCTCTATTCTTATTCAGGAGGAGAAGCGGAGGGAAGTCAAGTCCCAGAGTCAAGTCATGATCGACTCTGCTGCTCTAAATGCAAACACTTCAGGAGGCAATACTTTTAGGACAAATTACAATCAGAATTCTGTTGGAACTGGTGGTTTTAGAGGAAATTATAATCTTAATAGACCTAGGCCTTTTTGTGAGCTTTGCAAAAGACGGGGGAACACCAAAGCCAAGTGTTACAAGCTTCATGGGTATCCACAGGGCATGAATAGGTTCAACAATAATTCACAGAATTTCAACAAGTTCAACAAAGGGAAAGTAAATACTGCAAATGCGTTTGGAGGACCAAGTGATGGAATGAATGCTGGAGAAAAGGATGGAATATTGCAAGAACAAGGACGGAATTTGCACAATCTAACTAAGGAACAGTATGGACAATTGTTGAGCCTGCTGGAGAACTTCCAATCAGGAAATGCAGGGGAGAATTCCGGGAACACTAACATGGCTGGCGGTGCTGTCAATTTTGCAGGTACTATTACTTGCTGTAATTCTGTTGAGCATAGTGATCACTCATATGATTATTTTAAGCCAAATACTGACTCATGGATCCCAGACTCCGGTGCCACAAACCACATGACCTTCTAAAAATCATGGTTAACCAACACTAGAACCTTAGTTTACCCTTTCCTAGTGTCATTGCCAAATGGATATAAGGTGAAGGTGACACTCATTGGAGATGTAGTTCTTAGCCCAAAATTCACTATAAGAAAAGTCCTTTTGTGCCTAGTTTCAAATATAACTTGATCTTTGTTCATTCTTTGACAGTTCAACTTGATTGCATAGTTTCATTTACCAAATTTACTTGTTTCCTTCTACAAGACCCTTCAGTGAAGAGGCCTCTAGAGATTGGTAAAGCAATAGACAGTTTGTACTTTCAGTTCTCAAAGTCTACTTCTAGCACAGTTCCTGATTCTGTATCTTGCCCTTCCACTTCACATCACACACATGTAAATAAAGCACATTCTGATCCGCAAATTATTGTACATAGTTCAAATTTGAATAAAGGAAGTGGACATTCTGTGCTTAATGTCTTTGTTAATGGTGTTGATAATGTTGACTCCTTGTGGCATAATCGATTAGGACATGTACCTTTTGTAAAGATGAGAGGTATCTCAATCATACCAATTAAATTTGCCTCAAAATAACCCTTCATGTGTCCCATATGCCCCATGGCCAAACAAACAAGACTGCCCTTTCCATTGAAAAGTTCATCCTCAACCAAATTTTTTGAACTATTACACATTGATTTATGGGGTCCTTACCATGTAAATAATCATGATGGCTACAGATGCTTCATAACTCTTGTAGATAACTATAGTAGTTCTACCTGGACACATCTTCTAGGAAGTAAGAGCAATGCTTTGTATGTGATCAAAGCATTCTTTATCATGGTAGAAAACGAGTTTGGGACTTCAATCAAGTCCATAAGAACTAATAATGGATAAGAGTTCGCCGGTTCTGAGGTTGTTTCATTTTTCCAGTCTAAAGGGATTGTCCACCAAAAGACTTGCCCCTACATACCCCCAACAAAATGGGGTGGTAGAGAGAAAATATAAATACATCCTTGAAACAGCTAGAGCATTGCTTTTCTAGTCCAAATTGCCCCTAAAGTACTGAGAGTGTATACTTACCTCTACATACCTGATAAATAGATTACCTTCATCCTCCGTTAATAACAAATGGCCCTATGAATTACTCTACAAGAAAAAGCCTAACTATTCTCACATCAGAAATGCCTATGTTAAACTACTACACTGAAAACCCACAAAGATAAGTTTGAGCCAAGAGCCGCTCCTCATGTTTTTGTAGGCTATCCATCTGGTTCAAAGGGTTACAAAGTCTTAAGTTTGGTCACAAGGAAGATACATGTGTCAAGAGATGTAGTCTTTCATAGAAAATGTGTTCCCTTTCTGCCTATCTTTCAATTTCAACAATGTGCCCTGCCCTGGCAAGTTTCCTTCTGTACAACAGGGGCTCCCTAATGTATCAGTCTCTCCTTCTGAATATGATATACCTCATCAGCCTTCATATCACTCTAGTGCAGTGTCACCTGAATCTCACCATGATGCAATGTCACCTGGGCATCCAAATAACCATGACCAATCACCAATAGCAATGCATCAAAGTGTTAGCTTGACAGTTGAGTCAACTCCACAAAGCCAGGACCAAAGACATGTTCTGGATCTCAATAACCCCTCTATATCAAGTAAATCACAAGAACACCTAAATCATAACCAGTGCAGACGTGTTAGACCACACAAGACCCCTACTTACTTAAAGGACTATGTGTATTCAATCCCAAATCTCCAACCATGTTCTTCTAGCCAAAGTCAAGAAACACAGTCTATATCCTTCACTGCCTTCGTGCCAAACAAATAACATTTTGCTTTTAATGCATTGATTCCTGAAAGTCACTAGATGATAAGACACATTTCACATGAGTGTGAACCTTGTTCATATGAAAAGGTAGTCATTAATCCTGCCTGGCAAGCAACAATGA